TTACAACATTCAGGAGAAACACGGAGAGTAACGCTGTTTAGACCAGCCGCTTGGATGTCAGACTAAAAGTAATCACAAGAAAGCAAACACAACTGAGTGTTAATTGAGGTTGGGTGCTGGGCTGCAGTTCAAAAATGCTTTCATGTTGTAACCAAATTATTTGCATACTTGATTGAACTGAGTGATCAACTGAATCATTTGTGCCAACCTCACTGCTTACATGACCACATGTACACATTGTTAATGATGAAAGCATATGACTTTTATTACACAGTATAGTGTAGGATAGGCCTATTCAAAGCTTCTCTGGGTTGCTTTCTCTAAAGATATAATTGTTTCACAAGAAAGTTAGGCCAAGGAACAATATATAAAATTAGAGAATAAAATATATGTGTAACTTGCTGGTCAGCACAGTAGGTCACATTTTTTCTGACCTTGCCATATCTTAGAAAGAACAAATGATCCCCTGGAGTCCCTATAGTTTATTTAAGTGCTATGTGAACAGTCTGCTATTGCGAAACAGATAGTTAGCAGGCAACAATGTTACAAGGTAGACAGTAAATTGCAACTTATTTTTTCAGTGCGGAAGACTATAAATGGCATCTTCCTGTAAAGGACAGACAAACCTTTTGGCACTCCTCTCTACCATCCTGTGTTTCACTCTGCCACAGAACCACACACAATGCCAACCTTTGATAGCTGCTCTTACTGAAGCTGGCAGGGTGTTATGCCTGTAGAGATATTGGCATGACTCCTCAAGTACTCCATGTGTCAGTGCCATTTTGGCCAGTGACCATATGTGAACTGGTAGCTAATATTGCAAATTCACAAACTGCAATGAGCTGCGAAATATGCTTAGTTTATGAATTGCTTTAGACAATCTGATGTTGATGAACAATGGGAGATTTTTAAGCCTGAGATAGAAAAGCTTTTGAAAAGTATAAAATAGATAACTGAGAGGAAACTTAGGAAAGAGGTTACAAAGACGATTAGGAAGGCAAAGAGAAAATCATGAGGAGAACATAATAATAGTAATAATCCTTGCATTTGATATAGCGCTTTTCACGTCGGGAGGATGTCCCAAAGCGCTTCACAGAATAAAGTGAATTGACTGTATATTTGTGGGCGAACGCGGCAGCCAATTGCGCACAGCAATATACCACAAACAGTCGTGGATTGAAAATGACCAATTTATTATTGTTTTGTTTTGGAGGGATTATTATTAGGCGTGTGGAGTAAGGAAACTTGCCCAAGGTTTCGCCCTGCCTGGAACATGACAACAACAAAACATTTGTATAGTGCCTTTCGCGTTAGGAGGATGTCCCAAGGCACTGGACAATCAGGGATTTGGACCTGAGCAGGGAGTTGGGAGAAGAAGGGGTGGAGATCAGGGAGGGTAGGGGTAGGTGACCGAATGCACGGTCGAAGAGAAGGGTCTGGAGACGTGCCCTGAAGGAGGCAAGGGAGGGAGCGAGGCAAAGGGACTGTTGGATGGAGTTCCAAAGGGTGGGGCAGAGAAGTTAAAGGCCCGACCGCTGGTGGTGGGGCGGACTGTACGGTGAGGACATGAAGCCGACTGGAGCCGGCCGAGCGGAGGCAGTGGACAGGTTGATATGGTATTAGCAGGTCCCAGAGGTAGGAAGGAGCATGGCCGGGGAGGGCTTCGAAGGCAAGGATGAGGACTTTGAACAGTATGCTCCTGGAGCCAAGGGTGGAGGTAGAGAGATAGAGTTGGGTGTCATCTGCACACATGTCGAAGTTTACCCCATGTCTACGGATGATGTCACCAAGAGGGAGCATGTACATGTTGAAGAGGAGAGGACCAAGGATCTCTGGAGCCCTGAAAGCAAAAATATAAAAAGAAGCAGCAAGGTGTGACTGAAAAACGTCCAATGTGATACCCATTTTTATAAAGAGTGATAGAGCTAATCCAGGAAACTACAAGTCAGTCATCTTAATGTTGATTGTGTGCAAGGAATTTTAGAATATATAATAAAATATGAAGCAACTAGTCATCTGGAGAAGGAGAATATAATTAGGAGCAGCCAGCATGGATTTACGAAAGGAAAGTCATGCTTGACCGATTAGGAAGACAATGAGAAAATCATGAGAACATAGCAAAAATATAAAAAGAAATAGCAAGGTGTGACTGGAGAATGGCCAATGTTATCCTGATATTGAATTGAGTATTAGAAGAATATTTCTTAGTAAGAAACCTAGGTAACATGTGAAAGGTAAGAAATGTTTCAGAGAATTGGGTAATGATTAACCTTAATTTGCAAATGCAATTGATTAATTGCACAATACTATATTTGGTCTGTAGGCAAAAAAATATCCTGTAAATGGATGAGTATTTCAGAAACATTGAAAGAATGGTCTATGATACAAGCAGAACATGCAAATGCTAGCTGTGGTATATGATTTGTTTGCAGTCTACAAGTCCTACTGAACAGTTGGCAGTCATACATTCTTCCTGCATTGCACATTTTCTGGAAAGCATGACACTAAGTGTTTCTTAAACAATAAACAATTTCTGAGCACAAACTACCAGAATTACAGAGGTTGGGGAAAGGCACAATTACTGATTAAAGATGGGAACTCTGGTTTACATTGGTTTTAAAAAAAAGTTAGAAGTTTGGAGAAAGGTTAAATTGGAAAAAGGTTAAACTGGGTAGAAAATATTTATTTTGAACTGAGTTAAAATAAAAACAAAGGAGAATAGGAAAGAAGAAAGAATGGAATGAAAAGCACATGTACTTACATTAATGTATAAAAATGAATGGAAATAGTGTTGTTATAGTTTAGTGCCCAGGCTGGACAATGTTACAATGCAGTATAAAACAACCAAGGATTGTATTACAAACAAAATCCATTCTGTTACTAAACAGTAAGTGTGAAGCTTAAAGCATAACTGCAGTATACTTTCTAACATGTAGAGGTGAAGTTCATACTGGGATTATGCTGTTTTAACAATTGGTTTCTTGTGCTAACAACAGACATGATACACAACAAGTTCCGATGATCATTATGGTTTACTGATTGGTGCAGGGATAGCTGCAGATTATATATATATATATATGATATATAAATCATAAAAGCAAAGGTAGAGTCATTGATATAGTCATCAGAAACCGAGGTTTGTGCTGGAGCACATAAAACACCTGAAGCTATTATTATTTTTCATTCAATACATAGTGGATATGTCAAGGGGTAACATTGTGAAGTGACAAATACTTCCACATTGAGAATGACCAGATAACTCATAAATGAAAGTTGCAAATGTCTTATAGTCAGCTTTACCAGTGCAAAAACAGAAGAGTTCTCGCCAGTGATGGGAGTGAAAGTAATTCTTGATCAAGTGATTGCAATGTTTATTCTACGAGTAAACAACTTCTGCTGGAATATATGGTGGAAGATTGTGTTACTGTGCATGCATAAGCAGTATTTGGGATCTAAATATATGAACAGTGAAATTGCTAGCCCTAAACGTAGGGTATATCATATCTTTAATAAAGCTGATTCCTGCTTAGCCACAGGTATAAGTCATTCCTCAGATTAAGTGAATGTTTCACTGAAAAAGGTTCAGTTGTGTTTTTGAGGTGTTAAATTGCTGAGAGTGAAGCCACTTTTCTACCAGCAGTATTGGAATTGTGGGAACCCGAATCCCATGTTATATTTCCTGATCCACATTCAATCAGAGTGTAAATAAAAAAGCTTAGTAAATAAATGGTATGCCAAAATTGGTTTCTTTAAAAATATTAACAAAGAGCTGGTTGTACAATTGGCGCTTTAATAACAGTCCATTAAAGGTTGGCTTAGAGGATGCCAAAAATCTTTCAGACGAGCCCAGTGTGAAATCACACCTGCTGTGTTTGTGCTGTTCACATCACGGCTGTCTGTGGGACATTGCTGGCCCAGATCAGCTGCTGCATTCACCCGCATAACACACAGTCACTACACTTTTCAATAAAATCCTGTAAAGTACTTTGAGACATCCTCCCAAATGTGAAAGGCGCTATATCAATTTCAAGGATTATTATTTTTACTACAGTGGGTGCAAATCTCACTGATCTTCAAAGCCTCTGTTCTCAAATGGTGTTGGGAACAAGGTCCATGCTGGCTGAACCCTTATTTTTACATTGGCTGCCAAATCACAGCCTAAACGACGGTATTCACTGGCAAGCCTTTGGCATCAACATAGCATTGTGAATGAGGGAGCATGACTGGGGCCAGGGGTTCTTCCCACTTGGCTCCTGTTAACCCTGCAAGCCAAAGCACTAATGGTTAAGGTGGCCTTTGCTAGTCAAGCAGCAAGAAGCTTGCCAGATAGTGCTCCCAATGGCAAGCTATGTGGATTTAACTGGTTAAACTCCAGCATTACCCCTAATGCATATACTGGGGTCCCCAAGCTTTAGTTCCTGCCAACCTGTGCCCAATCCTCTCCGGAAATAGATAATCAGGACCAGTCCCTTCAGGGAGAGAGTATGATTTCATGCCAGACATGGAAATTTCCATGGATATATGGCACACATATGTTTTGGATTCTGGTTTGGATATTTGTAATGACGGTGATGGGTTTCTCCTTGTGTCAGACAACCTGCTGAACAAAAAAGAACCTTATAGCATTAGATGTAAAGTGAGAGTTATTTGTAGAATAATTATTTTCTTCCCCAATATGTATATTGCGAAGTGTATTTCAAATCTTCAGCAAATTTATTGGCCTGTTTTCTAATACTGTATTAATTCAAAATTATAATTAGAAATCAGAATGATTTACTGGAACATTTGTTTTGCACCTACAAATGTTAAACACCAAAGCGTTTTATGTGCTTTTAGCACAAAAGTGTTTTCTTTAACTGTGTAAAAATGTCCTTTCTTAACAAATCGATTACATGCTGAAGTAGCTTTCATGGCCATTAATATCAAAGTAGCCCGGTGTATGTGTATGAACAGTGGGGAGCTGGCTGTAAACCATCTGAACACGGTTTTCTATTCTTCAGCTACCTTCACCTGCAGAGTGTTGTGGACCCTGCTGAGTAACGTGAAGTTTGGAGAGACGACCTCTTACAAGCAGTTGGCAGCACAAGCCGGCAATTACAAAGCAGTGAGAGCTGTGGGAGGAGCAATGAGGAGCAATCCTGTAAGTTTCTGCAACGTGTGAAATGCTGGATACGCTGGATGCTTCGTACACATAATAATAATAATAATAATAATCCTTACATTTGATATAGCACCTTATCACGTCTTTGAGACACCTCAAAGCGCTTCACAGAATACACTATACATTGGGGCTCGTTGTCCAGCTCGTTGCCCCTGCTCCTCAGAGCTTGTAGGGGTGAGGAGGGACACATCTAACACCTCCAAGTGGATGGTCAATCCACTCAAGCTAGTCAGTCAACCATCAACAATGCTTTTCATTACTAAAGAACTCCCCAGTCTCGCTAGAGTCCCTCTTTAGATTCAGTTCATCCACATCAAGATCAGCATGCCTCTTCCACTCCTCAACCCCAGAAGAAAATCTGTAAATCTGAACTTATTTACATATTCACCTTGAAAAGGTTGAAACCCGAAAATTTGAACCCCCAAAGCTTCTTGGTCCCACGTCAGTAACTTCATATACTATGGTGATAATACTGTGAAAATGATGCTTTACCACATCATTTTATTCATCTGCATTTAAGCCACATTGAAAAAGAAATATTAAACATAAAAGAATAAAAAATAAAAGAAAATATTAAATATTTTCTTCTGGAAGTAACATTTATACTTTGTGGCCCATAAGAAAATAAAGTACGCGAGAACAATAGACTATAATATGAAGAAATGCTGTAAATGTGATCTTGAACTGCCAATTCCCCTATATAAATCCTTTTACTTTTTTCCTCCAATAACACACACACCCTCACTCATTCATGCACCTTTTAGTCACCCCACTCTGCTTCCCACCAAACAATCGTGATTATCAAGTACCTAGTTTATTCTCCACTAAGAATTTTGAATTTGTATGTAAATTTATATGAATTTGACATCCAGTTTCTAAACTATCAAGAGAGTAACTGCCAAACTCCGAATTGACCCAGAACTGCTCAGAAGTATGAGGAATGAACTAGCACAGAAATTCAATATCCAAAGCCCAGGGCAAAAAAAATGACTAATATTGCTCCCAATAATTTTCAGTTTATCATTGCCAGGGTTCCCTCTCTGTCATTTTTTCTCTACCTACTCTATGCTTCTGTACAAGCAGTAATTTTTCTGCGATTTCTTTCACCCAAGTTTCTTTACGAGCTCATGCATCTTGAAATAGGTTGAAGGCTATATAAAAATAGTGTTGTGACAATGGGCAAGAGTAGTGGCCACTTTGTTTCCTCTACCTAACATCTCATGAACCCACCTGGCACATGTGATATGGATCTGGAAGTCAAGTTCCTCCAGTGAATGCATTGGATACAGACTGCATTGCAGTTAGAGCAAATGCCCTCTGCAAATAGATGGGGCAGATACTCCTCCATCAAGCGCACAGATTGGGGGGAACAATTACCCCAGTGAACGCATCTACATTTCAGTCACTTGGGACAGGAACTTATAATACATCCCTCCTTTCGAAAGTTTAACAATCCACTGCTAGGACTACTGAGCTGCTATTCTACATTTAAACTTAAATTGTAGAAGTACATGTAACAACTATATTGCTTCGCTGCTATTTTGCTTTAACATATTTTCTGTTCTAAGCCAGAATATAATACCCTGCGTTATTATATTCACGGAAAACGTAAAGTGACCTGTCAGATTTTGTTGAAATTGCGCCGCTTCACCTTTAAAAGATTGTCTGTTCATTTTTTATAAGATGCACACATTTGCCACAAAATTGCATGCACTGAAATTTGAGATTTATTTTTTGATGTATTTTAAGATATATTACTCAGGTATATATCAACATTGTCGGCTTCAATGGCATTTGAAGTGCAAACCTTGAGCGCTACCTCAAGCACTACGCAAGTGAAGTTATTCACTGACTGAATACATAATGTGATATATATCTAACCCCAAATAAAAGCTGATACTGTGTCAGAGATATTTCTTTTAAACTACTATTGTGGTAAGAAAAGTTTTAAAAAGTTCACTTTGTTTCTTGCACGTATAATATGGTCAGAGGCTAAACTACTTCCATTTCTAATCATGATGTCTGAGGTGTTACCAAATTCCTTCGTACATTTCTACAAGTTTTCCTTTGTAGTTATCTCGCTACGTATAATTCATACAGTGACCTTCAACTTTATGAGAAGGTAGATGAGGTGTTGGCAGTAGCTGAGAGATGCAATGTCTTTGCTACAAATTATGCCAAGGACAAAGCGGAGCAACTCACCTTTGCAGCGAAGGAACTTCAAATACTTTGCTGTATTTCAGATTGATTGTGAGGTCTGTGGTCCTCAAAGGGCAAACGTAGAGTTCAATTAACAAGCTCATTAGAACAGTACAGGAGGCCCATAAAAGAATCATAAAGGCTCCTGGGAGTAAGGGAATGGAGGACTGATTAGTTCAAGGTCATCTTAAATGAGTACCATGCAACTTAAGCAAGATGTCACTGACAACCGTAATTGTCTGTAATGATGAAACTAAATAAAGAGCTTTCTTTGTGAATTCATCTTCTTATGTAACCCAGAACTTACTGTTCAAATTAAACTAAGTGGTCACTGGCCTAGGCAATGTACATTTCAAATGTTGGCTGGCTCATTAATATTCCAAGTAATGAGGATGGTGTGGGGGCATTTTGCAATTTCTAATTTACTTGTATGTTGTTCTTCTGTAGATTTTGCGACTGCAACTTGTTTTTATTTGAAGAGTGCAGAAATATGTGGAGTTCAGAAAAACAAACCTGTCACATCTGTTTCCTCACAAGTCTAGAGTTGTTCATCACAAATCAGTTTTGTATTTTTCCCCAAATGTTGTTTTCAGAATTTAAATTATAAAATCCCAAAATGCCTATTGTACTGCTCTGTCTATATATATATATATATATATACCACTTGTGAAAGCTTTACAATATCCCAGTTCAGCACCCTGCATCATATATTGAAACTGACACATGCTGATACTGCAGATATATCATATAGTGATATTACTCAACTTTGCACTGCATCGTGATGAGTTGGAAAATGAAAGAATGAGAAGCTTTCTACGAGAAACATTTCACCTACATGTATGTTTGCCAAAGCTCAACCTGAAACTATGTCCAGCTTGATGATAACAATAAGGAAAATGTGAATTGTTTGTCAGCATTCGAGTCTACAATATATTTGAGATCAAATTATAAAGGAAAGGGCACGTGTGATAGCTGCTAGGATAGCTGGATGGATGAGATTTGCTGAATGCAAGGTTATCATTTCCCTTCTTGATAGAAAGTTACTTGTTTGGTTATTATTTACACAGATAAATGTTGAAACCTGCTGAATAACTTGCTCAATTTTAGATAGAGACAAAATATGATGAGCATTAGTAAAATTCTTTCAGCGACCTCAAATGGAACTAGAACTGATAGCACTGTAATATCAAGATAACTAAGCTTAGAATACTTATATACATTCACTATTTTCTCACAATTTTGGTGAGCATTTTCCACTTGTTAGCTATTAAGACCATTAGAGTCAAAATTTGGATTTACGCAGCAGATTTCTGAATATGGGGAAGTTGCAAGAGTCTTAAAAGCTCCTTTGCTGATTTACATTTGTTTCATCTTAATAATCAGTGAGGGTCAGGGTGCAGCAGTTAATGGACTCACAATGAGCAGTTAATAAGGCCACAGAGAAACTTCTGGAACAATTATGACAGAAACCATTCCAATGCTAAGGTTTGTTTTTAACCTGTTTTTAATTGTTAGCTATCTTGGAATTTCACACATTCTTACAGCCAATGTTTACCCTCAATTTGCAATTTGTAGCATTTCACACCATAGCCCCTGATGTAACTATTCCCTACCTTCTTTACTAATATTTTATTTTTTTAGCTGCCACCCTCTACCATATAGAGAGACGTCACATGGCATTTGTTCGGATGAAAGGTCAAGCATGAAACGTCATGCACTTTGACCTATCTTTCTCTCACAAATTGGCTAGTGGATTTCTAGCATTTCTCTTTTCAATTTAAGATGTCCAGTATCTATTATTTTACTTTTTATTGTAACCTCTTAACGAAACATGGTGTAAGGAACTTTGCAACTGCAGTCATTTACAGCTAAAAGGAATATGGTTTTGGCCACTCAGCTCAGTGTCTCAATCTCTTGTGAAACAGGATAATGTAGACCTGTAGATGCTTCCACATATGAAGAGTTGTTCACTTTAAGCCCCTTATTTCGTATTCATCCCTTTCCCCTTTGAATAATACAGTGACTGCCATCATTGAAGCACGTGGAATTTCCTAATGCAGTACCACTATCCAAAGTGTAGCACTTTATTAACAGGGTTCATACTTAATACTCACTCCGATCTCAATAAACTACATCATATGGTGCATATTTCTCAGTGTATTCACTGCACAGTGTATTTCCCTAAATATAGCAACAACGATAACAACAGCAATTTGCATTTATATAGCGCCCCTCACGCAGGATAGTGTTCCAGAGCACTACTGAGCAATGCACAGATTGTGATGCAGTAAAATATACACCATATGGTATATTTAATTGAGGTCTGAGTTGTGCATAGCATATGTATTTCATTCATTGGTATGTTTTTGTTAAATCTTTCCCACAGGAATGCTGTTTTTTTTCTCCCAGGAATTTGTCCTAACACTGCACATAAGAGGAGTCTTCAGTTATTTTCCTATTGCTTTCTTCCAAATCAGTTATAATCATTCTGATGTGTTGGCCTTGTGACATTTCAGTTGGCTTGTTGCAAGACTGCAAGTTTCCAGACTTTTCAGCACACACTTAAAACATATTGGACTTCTGGAACATTCTGACTTTGTTGGATTGCAACAGGAGATGGGAAAATAGTGTGGGAAAATTGTGAACTTCTACGAATGGAGTTCACAGTACTGAACAGCAAATGGACGACTTGGCTTTGTAACCCAGCTTGTTGACAATTGAAGATGGATTTAGAAATAGATATGTACCTGAATTAAGTCAGTTGGCCATAGTGGAATGGT